CACTGGTTGCATGTTCCTATCTGTAACAGTGCTTGAGATATTGCAATTATGTCTATAAAATGAGGTCACGTGACCATATAAAAGAACAAAAAAAATATGAAAAAACATTCTAAAATCTTCTTCTAAAAAACGGCTTATCGCCTGGACTTCATATTTTGGAATTAAATACTATGTCATATGATCTTTCAAAGTTATTCAGGGATAGTTGATTAGTCGAAAATTATGCAAATGAGATGCAAAAGAAAATTAAAAAAATTCTAGAAAAAAATTAGTCACGTGACCGCTAAAGTTTTTTTTGATGAAATTTGTAGCCCTTGTCGCACTGCTACTATCATAAAAAAATTGGAGCACTCAGACCCTCAGAAAGGTGCGCAATTCGGCATTGAAAATTTCGCCTTTAATCCAAGATGGCGGCCTGGTCATGTGACCAATGTGTCTGAACTTAGGATATGCACCAGATCTCATACAGCTTTACCATTGTGGCAAGTATGGAACTGATCGGTCCAACGGTGTTGACATAAAGCGTGACCAAAAATTTAGGCGGAAGAATAATAATAATAATAATAATAATAAACGGAACAATTACAATAGGGTTTCGACCAAATGGGCTCGAAACCCTAATAATAAATATAGCTGCATAGCAGCGATGACGGGTTTCGAGCCTGCGTGGCTCATGACAAATTGCACTTGCTCGATGTGATTATTTGACGAACGTTTCATGTCTAGAATGCAAGATAGCAGACAAACTACACAATATATGGATTTGATTTCACAGGAATATGATAAACTTAATGCAAGGATTCCGCATACCAAATTTTGTATCAGTCTGGCAAATAGTTCATGAGTTATAGAACTTTTTCTCTTTTACTAAATCCAAGATGGCTGCCAAAGGAAGCCATTTTTAAAAATCTACTTCAGTAACTTTGTAGAGCTATCAACAGAGATACTATATGCTAAATTGCTTTTCAAACAAGCAAGCAGTTTTTAACAAGATATTTTTTTGAGGTTTTTTGAATTTTTGTGATAAATTCAACATGGCCGCCAAAACCACATTGAATCATGGGAAATATTTCCATGAACACATAATCATCTCATTGAAGCGGATGTTGTATGCCAAGTTTTGTTTAAATCTGGCAAATCGTTCATAAGTTATAGCGTACTTTCACTTTTTACTAAATCCAAGATGGCTGCCAAAGGAAGCCATTTTTCGAAAATCTGCTTTAGTAACTTTGTAGAGCTATCGACAGAGATACTATATGCTAATATGCTTTTCAAACAAGGAAGCAGTTTTTACAAGATAATTTTTTGAG